AGTCTTCTCATCTCATGAGATGGCCAAAGTATTGGAGCCTCAGCTTCAGGATCTGTCCTTACTAGTTATCTATGACAAGAATTTATGTTTGAGATTTCGCAGCCAACCATTTCCAATCATTTTGTTGTTGTGTTACTGAAAAATCATAATACATGGATTTTTAATTTTTTTTAATGTACTTAATGTAACCCATACTGATTTTTTTTTAAAAAGGCAGAGGGGAATAATTATTAAAATTTTAATTTTGGTCCTTTTAAAAAAATGTTGTGGTTGTGAAAACATTGAGCAAAGTACATTAACTAAAAATACTTCTCTTCTAAAGTAGTGTTCATGAGTACCTAAACATAACATTCATTCATTTATTCATTCATTTACCCCACCCAGATTCTAAACGAATCTACTGTGGGCGGCTTACAATTCGAGCAATATAAAACCAAGAATAATAACAAACAATATCAAAACAAAGAAGAGAGATGAGCAAAGTCGAGATGGTAAAACACAAGAAACTAAGTAATGGAAGGGGGGAGAGGCCTGCTTGAAGAACAAAGCTTGTTCTATAAAACTCCCACTGAGTTTACCAGGGGGTAACATGTTCCAGAGGCGAGGGGACACCACTGAGACCTATTTCTAGTTCTCTCCTTCTGGGCCACCCTCTCCTTCCGGGCCTTTCTGGTAACCACTAGACTACTTTTCACCCCAAGATATAAGGAAGTCTGTTTAAGAGTGATCAAGAGTGGTCGAACTGTGAGGTTCAAATGTGAAGGATTTCCAAAATTCTTCTGGCCTCCTTTGAAGTGCTTACTATGAGGATTTTGCATGCCTAACAATAGACGTGCGCACAGGATGAAGTCCCCAATTCTTTTAGTTTGTTAATGGAAATTTCTAAAATGTGTGTTTTAGTGCTTCACAACTAACATACTGCAGAATCATTCCTGGCATATTCTTAAATATAAGCAGTTTATTGAGTTCTGTAGCTACTACCTCCTTTGTGGTGTACCATGGAGGTTCAGTTTGGGCAATGATACTTGGTGAATTTTCTCAAAATCTTGTGCTGAAATGCAAAGATGAGCTGGATAATGTTCCCCATTCCCAATGAATCTTTGCACTCCACAAGCTCTTAGATCCAACAGATGGCTGTGATTTTCCAAATCTTTGATGTTGAGTTGGCACTCCTGGGTTGACACTGGTTTGTTGATGTTTTAGGTCCCTGGCAAGCAGTCTATTTCCTGTTTGTGTAATGCTAGTCAGTTGCAGTGACAAGACCCCCCCCCCGCAAACTTCCAGTATTTTAGACCATTCTTCTACTAGCATTATATGGTGCTTATGAAACTGGTATGCCACCAATAGCTGGTTTATTTTATTTATTTATTTAATTTATACCCCGCCTATCTGGTCGGTGAGGACCACTCTAGGCGTCTAAATGGTTCCCACCATTGCTAAGCTTCTGTTGTTTTGGTACCATACTTGGGATTTGGTTCTCTAACAGAGTGACTGGTGTAGAAAATATCTGAGGCTAAACTACACAACTGTTTTTTTCCTTTTGCACAGGTTGGTGCTGACAGCATTACTTTCTATAATTCAGTTGGTTTGGCTGCGAGATTTGCCCTACAGCTCATGTAGTAACTGATTATTGAGTATAATGTCTTAAATGACCATATTAGGCAACCATTAATCTCTAAACTTATAAAAATTTCCACGCCTAACAAAATTCTATTTTCTGTTTTCCACCCAATAGTTTAATTTTCTCTTAAACAAAGGCTAAATCTATTTTTCTGTACAGTATTTTTGTTTCTCATAAAAGAATAGACAGCTGTGGCAGGAAGCCAAAGGTTTACTGAAACACACCCAAGGGTTGTGTTCAGTGGAAATTTATGTTTCCTTCTTTGAGCAATAATAATAATGTGCTCTCAAGATAATTCTGACTTATGGTGACTCTTTTTCAGGACTTTCCAGGAAACAATGTTCAGAAGTGGTTTACCATTCCCTTCTTCTGGGGGCATTCTGGAACTGTGCAGCTTTGCCCAAGGCCACACAGGCTAGCTCTACCTGTAGGAGGCACAGAGTGGAATCAAACTCCCAACCTTTGGCTCCGCAAACAGATACAGATACACAAACCACTGAGCTATTTAACCAACCTTTGAACAGTAGCTTAATTCAAAACACCACAGATAACAGCTTTCCAAAGAGTCTTATTTTAGCACAAGCCTTTATTACATTAATGCATTCTGTTTAAGTTTCAGAGGCAAATACATAAATGTAAGAAGACTTTCTTGGTGGTCACCCAAAGCTATGAAAATCTCTCATGAAGGAAGCAAATTAATTCCCTGTTTGATGTTTTGGAGGGTTTTTTGGATCTCCAGTTTGGGGTAGGGTATCTGTGGGCCTCTGGGAACCCCTAACCTGGTGGGCTAACAGCTACTCTCCTTAAGTATGAGCAGGTGGTGGCAAGTGGTAGAATTTTGGGGGGACTCCTTAGGATCCGCTGGTGGGGGCAAGTAGATAGGAGCTTGGCCAAGCAGAGAGGGGGCTGCTTCCAGGCCCCATCCCCATTTCTATCAGGCCCCTGGCCTTAGGCAATTCCACCCAGACAAAGGCCACTATTTCTGCATTGCTGGTGAGGTTCCAATTACAGGAGCAAAGCCCTGCCCAAAGGACTAGACCTCTAACATGTATATTCTGGGAAACATGATGGGGGCTCACTGGCTTGACTTTAGCAAGGAGACTGTCAATTGGCTCATCCTCCCCAAACTGAGTTTCAGGGCAATAGGCATGAAGGGCCCACAGATCCTGCTACAAGTCTGTAATGAAACAGAAGATGCAGTTCCTGTGTTCTCCAGCCTATTTCTGGTGCCACTGAACTTTACAAAAATGTATAGAAACACAGAATAAACCTGGGCACAAAACAGTAGAAAAGGAATGTGTCTCTTGCTCTCAGTTGGTACTCGCCCATTTGTTTCGATGTTCACATTCTTTCATCTGTCCAGTTCTGTACTAGGATGATATTTTAGCAACAGAAATCTTATATTCTGGAAAACTAATATATATTATTCACACAGAAGGTAGAGAATAAAATAATCAAAATCATAGCAATCAATATAAAATATTTTTAATTAAGATAAATATTTACAAAAATGCTTCTGAAGTATTAGAAAGGTTTTAAAAATATTTTCATGAACCTCAACGTGCAATCTGGAGCTTCTTCCAGACCAAACTGCTACTAATACAAAGTTACAAAAGTTCTCGTCATAAAATATGATAAATATAAACTATTAAATCATGATTGGTTAAGACTTTTAGCATCAGTCTTTATCGGACCTGAGAATCTGTCTGGAAGACAGATCGATAGAAAAAATATGAATGAGAAATTAAGATCAACTATGAGACAAGTGCATGAAAAATAACTGTAAATATCACTGAAGCTGTACGGAATACATTTAATGTTACATTTCATAATGTAACAAACAGATTATTTCAGATATTTCAGAAGGTAAAACATATCTTTTCCAAAGTTGTTATACAGGGCTCCTTATTTTATAAAAAGCCAAAAAGTGGATCCTGTGACACTTGTGACTTTTTTTCCATTGTCAATTAGGAAAGCATAAATACACACGTTCTATTGTACTACCCTGATTGTTAGTTTTGGTCACATGTTTGATCTAGGGACGTGGTGGTGCTGTGGGCTAAACCGCAGAAGCCTGTGCTGCAAGGTCAGAAGACCAAGCAGTCGTAAGATCGAATCCACGCAACGGAGTGAGCGCCCGTTGCTTGTCCCAGCTCCCGCCAACCTAGCGGTTCGAAAGCATGCAAATGCAAGTAGATAAATAGGGTTTGATCTTGTGATCCCTTTAGGCCAGTGTATTTGAAAGACTACTGAATCTTGTAATATTGATAAGGGATAAAATCCCTTAAAACTAATTAGATTTTTATGAAAGACAGCAAAAAACCCAGAATACTTCCAACATACGAATTATGAAAAGAAAATGGAGACCTAGCTTATGGTTCCTATTTTTAAAACACTGCAAGTGAGAAAGTGATCCTCTGCTAATGAAAGCTCACTTTTGCTTTTCATAGTGTACTCCTAATCAAATGCCTTCTTTTTAAACACTTCAGCAACAAGAGCAGAAAGTTTATTGGACAAAAAGTGTCAAGGGGAACCTTTACCTTTACCTTTTGATCCCTTTAGGCCAGTATATTTGAAGGACTATTGAATCTTGTAATATTTATAAGGGATAAAATCCCTTAAAACTAATTAGATTTTTATGAAAGACAGCAAAAAACCCAGAATACTTCCAACATACGAATTATGAAAAGAAAATGGAGACCTAGCTTATGGTTCCTATTTTTAAAACACTGCAAGTGAGAAAGTGATTCTCTGCTAATGAAAGCTCACTTTTGCTTTTCATAGTGTACTCCTAATCAAATGCCTTCTTTTTAAACACTTCAGCAACAAGAGCAGAAAGTTTATTTGGTGCCCACTAAAGGCCAGTGCCCATAAAAGCTAACTAATAATCTTATGTACAACAACACCTAGTCTGATCAGGCTTACATTTTGTGTAGATGCTACACATAGTTTTCATTGGGAAAAGGTAATAGCATCCTAAATTAGTCCACTGGTCCCTTGAGAAGGGAAGGTGGAAGGCTGTCTCAACACTAATTTTTCCTTGCATTGCTAGGAAACAAAAAGAGCTGCAGAAAACCATAGACACAGAGACTTCCCAAGGAAAGCTTACTTCTTACGTTATTGTTGGCCAGGATCTTGGGGGGCTGGGGGTAGAGAAAGAAGCATCTGAATTCTAAATCTTCAAATCCTCCCTGCTCTTCCCATTTCCATCCCACATGATTTTCAAAAAGCCAGTCAGCAGTGAGGCAAGAGCTGACTACTTATTTCAGGTATGATGCTTTTTAAATTCCTTAGTGGAGCTATCTTCCCCTTTCAGAGCAGAGAAATGCATGTGGTTCAGCAGGCATTTCAAACCACTTCAAGACTTCCTGCCTGGTATGAGACAGGTTACTGAGATGCTACGCAGCCAGAGAAGCCTGATTCCCTAACTCAAATATGTATCCTCATTTAGTGTTAAGAAGCCATGTTAATTTAAGAATTAGCAGAACAAATAAAAGGATATTAAGTGGCATCCATCTATCCACGTAGCCCTGTAAGCTCTGATGGATTCTGTCCAAAGGCAGGGCTCACTGCCTCTTTAGGACAGCAAATTCCAGAGGTAGCAAGAAAATGCACAATTCCTCAATATGGGCTATGAGAGAAGACTGCACACCATTCTAAACACTGCTTTACCAGCAGTAACAAAAAATAAAATCAAAGAACCACCACTCAAAACTTTAATTTCAACCTCCCAAATTTTGCTACCCTACCAGTTGTTTAAGAGTGAAATACTTTATGTTTATGCTCACATTCCAAATGCAAACACCTTCCACACTCTGGATAAAAAGGGGATGCCTTTCCATTTTAAATTTTGGGAGAGAATTATTTGGATTCACTGTAGTAATTAGTAAGCAGAATATACCTTGTTCTGATATTACTCCACATTAAAATAATGCATAGGAGAAAATAGTTTTCTTTTAAAGAATGAAAACCAAAGTATGTTTTTAAAAATGAACAATAAATCAAGGGAATAATCAGTCTAAGAAATAATTGACTTGACTCCTTTCCCTAATAAGTTATGGCTACAATCAGAAAAGCTAAGACTCTCTTAAGGCTGGAATGGACTTGCACTTTCAGAACAACAAGCTCAAAAGCATACTGCCACATACGAAATGTACAGCATGCTATATAATCCATGTTCTAACCAATCTCAAAATAATTGCATGTACCTCTGTGAGCTGTAGATAAAGTCTAGTGTTTTTTCTAAAATTCCACTTCTGCGGCATCACGGAAGCAATACATTTCAACCAGTATGTGCTTCGGTCTGTTTTCTACCTACTATAAGCAAAAACAGTAAGTTGAGAGAGGAATAGGATTTGAACCATATGTGAAAGATATTGAAGATTTGGTCTTCATAGCAATTTAATGATTTGCTCTTTCACTGACAACATCCTGCAGACGTTTAAGTAAAACATCATCATTTTCCTGGCACAGTCTCTTTGCTGGTGATTCTGTGTCACTATCAATTGATATTGCTCTCTTCTTTGGTCGCTGTCCTCCTTGTTTAATCATATTGTTGATTTCCTTCAAACTCTGCCAAATTGAAAGTATTAAAATCAAAACAGATAAAAAAATTATGATATTTAAAAAATATAAAAATTGCTTTATTAGATTCTCTATATCAAAAATAGATTATAGTAAATTAATTAATTAAATTTATTTAATACCCCATTAATTCAAGCAGTATTCTAGGTGGTTTACAGGTTAAACATTAAAACCCCATATAATAAAACACATTCAACAATATGGTGATTCACAAGTATAAGTCTAAATTTCATACAAAAGGAGGAAAGAAAGAACAAGAAAAAAAAATTAACAGCATCCGGGAGAATCAGTTGTTGGAGGCAGCTTTGAATAATTCTGTTTTCATGAATTTCCTGAACATAAGGATTCCCTGGCATATCTCAGTTGGTAACGTATTCCAAAAGTTATGGTTTTAACAGATTTTATACAACCATTCCTAAATTTTTCAATCCAAAATACTTAATCTGTACCATGTATCTCCCATTAGAGTCTTTCAATAAAAGATCAACAAATCAGTCTAGAAGCCAACCAACAGAAATGACTTTTTCAAATCAGATGTCAAAACCATACAACTCACCTCAGAAGGGCTCCTATTGAATTTATATAGCAATGCTGTCTTAGGCGTTAAGCTAGTGCCATTCTTATGTGGCGAAACGTAAACAGAGTGTTGCTGAGATATCCGCCGAGGAGACACTGGTTGTTGTTTGATGCTAGGAAAGGGGGAAAGGGGAAGTGCTTCCACCTTGAAAAGAAAAATTGCACACTTAGCTGGAAGAAGTCTATTCTTCTAATCTTACAAACACAGGAGTTAACAGAAAGACACAAGCTCAAAAATGACAAATACTGGTATATTATTTGTTGAATTTGCCAGGCTACGATTGCTAAAATATATGCAGGGGTCCTTCTGGCTGCACCCATTATTTATCACCAAATAAATCACCACCAAATAGCTACATCAACTATATCTTGATCTGAATGGCTTATTTTTTGTCAACTGTTCATAGCCAAAATATAATTCTGATGCTCAGCAACTCAGAGAAGCATATTATATGTTTCCCCTGGTTACTGTACAATTCAAACAAATAAGGTAAGCCAAAGAAGAGAGAAGTAGCAAGTGGAATACAAAAGAATTCTTAGGCCCTGTGTTCTTCAGTATTTTTATAAATGACTTGGATGACAGTGTGGAGGAGATGCTCAACAGATCTGCAGATGACACCAAACTTGGAGAGGTAGCTAATACTTCCTAAGACAAAGCCCAAGAGGACCCTGACAAACTGCAGAACAAGACCAAAAGAAACAAAATGGCTAACATCACTGCAGTGGGAGTATGGCACCTTGTTATCATGGGCTGCAACAGTTATTCTCAACCCATAACTGAAGAACCACACTGGGCCTGGTTTCCTTCAGTCCATGTGAGGAACCAGTATCCCAACTCCTCATTGCTAGATGGTAAGAATTATCAGTCCGGGGACTTAGTGCCAGGGGGCCTCCGGAGGGCCCAACACCCCTGTTCTTCAGAAGTCCTCCATCAGAGGACAGACCCACTGTATTTAGAAGGCACATTCCTGTCCTTTGAGTCTGAAGAATCTGACCAAGAGGATCTTCATCAGCCACAGCCACATCAGCTCTGCTATAATTTGAAACGGGTAAAACAGAAACAAAGTCTCTAGCAGGAGGGAAACAAAACTAATGTTCTCTAACTTCTCCGTTGGCACCCTCTGGTGGCTACTGCTTTTGATTTTTGTCTGTGGAAAATGAAAACCCTACCTGCCAGCATTTTGTGATCTAGAGAGGAACAGGCTTTAATATCAGTGCTTCCACAGAGCAGTATTAGGCCTTGAGTATCCATTAAAGAAGTCTGTCAGCTGAACTGACCTTCATGACAATGAATGTACATAACAGGAAGTGTTAAATGACTTACTTGGATACCAGCTAGACTTGCAGAAAGATTACTCACTGAAAAAGCTCCTCTCAATTTGGGATGCACTTCCAGGTTGTGTTTTGGTGATCCTAATGTGCTCAGTCTGTTTTTTATTCAAACCTTTAGCTGTGCTTTCTCATCTGAATCATAAGGGGAAGGGAGAGAAAGGAAGAAAGAGGAAGAACCAAGGAAAAAGCAATGCAGAAGAAAAAGAAAAGTAGGACCAACTTCTTCAGGGAGGGAAGGCAGGAAAAACTGAGGAAGACCTTCAAGATGAGAATGTTTTTTTAAAAAACCTAGCAACATGAGGCCTGTCTTCCACATAATAAGACTTCACTCACTGTTAAATACTTCTGTGCCAAACAGGAGAATGCATTTCTCAGAATTCTCCTTGGGACTAACTCTGGCCATTTCAGGTGCATCTCCTTAGTCTGTTAAGAGGAACTGCATATAAAACTAGCCACCAAGACAACAGTGTACTTACACTGATTCAATCCCCTGCATTCCTCTGACCTGCAGATAAGAAGTTTGACAGATGAACTGCTCACAATGTACTGTACATAAAACCAATTTGGAAACACTGCAGCAGAGCTATGGTTCAGGATGAGGAATGATACAGGCTTGGTCAATCTCACTGTCCTCTCCTCTCACAGTTCTTTGTTTTAAGTAGGAAATACAGTTTGTGTATACTGAATAACTGAATGTTAGAGCTGTGTGATTACTTCCTCTCTAGGAAATAATTATTTCGTAGCATCCTATGTTGGTTTGCAACTTACAACATCCAGTAAATTGTAAGTTTAGAAGGCAAAGATTTTATAAATCAAAAGGAAAATTCATGCCAGTTGAAATGTAAGTTTCAAAATTCTTATTTATACTTAGGGTAATATACAGTGGACCCTTGACTTACAGACTTTTTGAGTTACAGACTTCTCTGGCCGCAAAATTTAGGTTTGACTTGCAGCCTGAGATTTGACTTACAGACCAGAAAAAAGCCAAAATGGAACAAAAACGGCCTGTTACGGGATTAATCGGTTTTCAATGCACTGTAGGTCAATGGAGACTTGACTTACAGACTTTTTGACTTGAGAACCGCCTTCCAATAGCTGTCAAAAGTTGGGGGAAAAAAATTCACCATTAATTAACGAAAAGTCAGATCAAAGCCAAATTAACTTTTGCATCCGTTTTAGAGGGTGCAGAAGCTAATCCAAGCATTTAAAACCATTTTTGACCCTTTTATGACACACTTAATTTTGCAAAAATTGACTTCGCAAAGCCATTGAAACCTATTGAGTCAGCTACAATACATTCCAATGGAGGATACATTGTATCGTTTAACAATGTTTCCTATGGGTTTTTTCGCTTAAGGACGGCAATCCGTGCCTATTGGAACGGATTAACCGGTTTCCAATGCATCTCTATGGGAAATGGTGTTTCGCATAAAGTTTTTTTCGCATAAGGTTTTTTTTTTTGGAACCAATTAAAAACGTTATGCGAGGCACCACTGTATTTCTAAACTCTACACAGAACGTAACATGTGAAATTCACATACCACATGATCATGGTTGGAAGCACTGTATTTCAGTGCAAAGGTTTGCACTCTTCCTACATAGATGGTGTTGTAAAATTTTATTAGGTCACCTCTCTCGTCCTCCTCCAGATCTCTTGAACTTTCCGGGTTTGTCACCTGTGAATATTTCACCGTTCCCTGAGAATCTGCTAAAAAGAAAGGAAGAGTAAAATGCTAAAGGACTGTAGTTTAAGTGGTGTTATAAATGGGGTTTGCACATTTGAAATATGTGAAACAACTAGTCATCTAATCAGTTTGTGACATACTGAATTTAAGATATCTTTCCCCACCTTAGAAAGATGCCTTTCTAATTGGTATGCCAGTTCATATCATGAATGAACCCTTAAGTAAAACATCTGGAATCAAAGAGACCTAGAGAACTGGAGATCTTGAAAACATTTATAACATTTTGGTTGATCTCAATAATAGTTTGCCCCACTGTGCTGTTTGCAGTAGATCTTGGAGTAGGCCCCACAGAACAAAGTGGCATTTTCTTTGGATTAAGCATGAATACTACTATGCTGATAATAAAAAATGCTTAACATATCCTGGAACACTTCAGAACTTCTACACTTCATACAGTTAAACTCATTCTATTCTTGACTGTGGCCTAAAATCTAATTTTAGATATGGTCTAATATCACAGCCCACCATCATAACCTACAGTGTAGTCTCTGATCAGATGAGACAGGTATACTACTTCACTTTCAATCTTTTATTACAGTGCATGGCATTATTTGCATGTGTCGTTCCAGCTGTCCATACACTCTTCTTTCTCTCATGCTGTTATTCCTTTTCTATAATCTGCTACAGCTGTTTTGATGTGGGTATCTCACCCCAGTAAAAGGGCTAGATTTAATAGTTATCAGCCTTTTTTGAGTCGTATGCTCTTCCGCTACAAACCGTACAGCCATATTATTTTATTAGATTTTCAAAACTGGGCTTCAAGTTCATATTCAAGAGAAGGTTGCTTTCCTTTTTGCCTTTCAAATAAGCTGAAAATAGTACAATAACCATTCACTCACCTTCTTCTGACATCTCTTCTTGTTTAATACATAATGTGGCCTTTTGGGACATTTTTTTCAATAAGACACTTCTGTAGACCTGAACGTAGGAAAAGGCAAATTTTCTTATTCCTCTTAAACTACTGAAAATAGACTCAGAAGTGAAGGCAATATAAGTAACAGGTAAGTAACATAATTTGTATAGATAGAGTTAAGAGAACAGTTAATGTCTGTTTGAAGAAATGTACTTACATGGCTATTTGCCTGTGGCTGGTTTCTATAGCTTTTCATTATGTCCTGAAAAGTTCTTTCCTCTTTGGACACCTGCACAAAAAGTAATCAAGTTGCTTATACATGAAAAGCATTATTCTATATCCACCAGGAATAAAAGATCTTAGTGGAGAGCTGCTATGCACCAAATAGAGTTTCTGAGGCCTCGTCCTGCAGTTCTTTGTGTTGCATGCTAAGCCATGCCTACAACTGAGGAAATCCTTGGCTGCTCATTCAACACTGCACAAGAAGTCATGTAGCAGGCAAGTATTGTTACATACAGTATATAAACATGACTGCATGAAGTTCAAGGAGATGCTTTACCTCCTTGCAACAGACTTTACTGAGACTTTAGTCACAGCAAACAAAAACTGATGAGTGCTCTGCATTCAAGGATCATCTCAGATCATCTCAAATGGTTGAGTTACATAGATTGGGTTGCAAATAAAGGTGGCTGACAGTAAGACTCCAAACATCCCATAAATATTTAAAGGAAACCAGTTATGGAGATGTCCCATCAGGGAAGCTACACAACCAGCCACTTTATGTCACCACCATTTTTAACTATACTCTTTTTTTGTTGCACAATCTAATCTCCTGTTCACATGTTTTATAAATATTACTGGGCTCACAGCTGAATCACAGCAGGATCATTGGTCTTACTTTTGTCCAGCAATTGTTTTGAATGGGGATCTTCCACCGCACAATTACATGAATAATAAAACCATGGAGAAGAGCCTATTTTTAAGAGCCTGCCTAGTATATTGCATTTCCTTACATTTACAAGCTCTGGTATGCTAAATTCCTTCCTTCACAATTCATTTCACAATTCAAAAGACGCAAATAAGATGGAATTATAAAAATATAATATATATTGTTCCACACAATAATACTTAAGAACTGAAATATGCATTAAGAGATTCCATAAAGGGGATCTGTGCTACAATAAAGATGAACAAATTGAAAATATACTTTAGAAAGAGACTAATGGTGTAGTGTGAGAGCATTTGGGAAATACCTTGATACTATAAACAGAAATGGGCATGAACTGCGAGTTCAGCAGTCTGTCTGTCAGTCCAACAGGTGTTACATGGTTGGTTCAGCAGTCTGTCAGTCCAACAGGTGTTACATGGTTCTGACACAGTTCCAAGCCCTGCCTCCTCCTCTGGTGGGCACCTACTCAAATGTAGCACCTGGAGGAGGTGGGGCAGGAAAGCTGGGTGCTGTCTCTGAGTGGGTGCCCACCAGAGGAGGCAGGGCTCGGAACCTCAATAGAACCGCGTAACACTTGTTGGGCTGACAGCTAAACCAGCACTAACCGCCAAAGCTGTGGTTCATTCCCATCTCTAATTAGAAATATTCTCTGCATATAAATGCTTTGCATATAACTAATCCAAGTCACTACAGCAATGAAAAGTGGAGTGCTCTCTACCTTCTAAATAACATTCTAGTTAACTGGTCCACAGTGAAAAGGACTACTAACACATGGCTTTGAAGAAACTACTCAGATGCATAGATTCTGCATTCATAACTTTGTGCATCTTATGCATTAGTAAAACAGTTCCCAAGATGGAAATACAACATCACATTCTAAATTCCTTTCCTTTGCCATGATGTAAAAAGCACAGAGGAGTAGCTGATCCAAGTGTCTGTCTTTCATTAGGTCCGTACAGTGAACTAATGTGAATTCAAAACATGTCCATATCTTCCTGCGCAAATCATTGGAAACATCCAGCTTTAAACATAGGTCACGTAATCGCACACTTGCCAGATGATAAACCTGAGAAAATAAAATAAAATGCAGAACTATATAAAACACATGTTTGACTACTGAATTAGAAAGGCAAAAAGAATCTGAGGGATGGGGGTAGAAAATTAGCCTACATAATTTTAAAGGCCCTAGATCAGATTTTGCAAAGACAGTGAATTCCATATCAATGGGTATCTGTATCAGTGGGGCTGTATGCTAAAACACAAATACAGTAATGATATAGTTTTACTGATCAATACAATGCTGCAAATGTAACATGTGCTTTTATAGAAAAAGTAGGCAACTGGTGGCCCTGGAAATGCTGTCGAACTGTAATTCCCATAAGTCCTAGCCAACTTAAGCAAAGTAAGGGATGACAGCAGGTGAAGTCCAACAAGATTTGGATGGCCACAATTTGCTTGTCCAGTATTACTGGGATATTTTAAATAGCAAGTGAATCAAAGTACTGCACTTTCACAAGAGAGATCTCTTCTGCCTGCGTCTGGTGGTATGAGGTCAACTTTCTTCATCCCCTTCAAAAACCTGCTCAAGAGAAGGAAAACTCTGATTTCAAACCTCCACTGCCTTGAGGTAATATATCCACTGATGGAAAAGGCTTCAGGAGTTAACCTTGAGGCGAAAACCAGAGCCGGAGTCCGGGAGGCAGTTCGTGTTGTTCTGGCAACTCCTGTGACGTTGCTGGAACCACTTGGAATGGCTCTTGCCTTTCCATTGGACTATTTCAGAGATGTGGAGAGGGGGGATTTGCTACTTGGGTAACAGCCTAAGCGTCATATTATTTTACCCAGGCTTCGTACTCTGGAGAGGACACTCAAGCTTTGCATACAGCGTTGAAGCAAAATCAGGGAGCTGGACAGGGGACAGATTGTATTTGTCTTCAGTGTGAAAGTAATTGTCACTCTCGAATTGGCCTTCTCAACCACACTAGATGCTGTTCCATGTCCTCCATACAAAGCACATTACCATAGTCTCTCGAGACTGAAGGATGCCTACACAACTGTCTACTATGCAGTTAATCTTTTCATGACCTCCTAATTACAAGAAACTACTGCCCCTGTGGAGAGGGAAGATGGCACTGGGCAAGCTGTTCAGGAAGGGGTTTAGAATTGGATGATTCAAATTCAAAGATAGCTGGTGCTTTAGCGACCTTTTAGAAAGGTGCGGCTGCTGACATATTGGACCCAAACCCTTTTAGATAATGCTGAACTCTGGGAGTTGTAAAGACAAATTCCTGGCTACCAATGAAGTGTTACAATTTGCCTCTAGTGGACCTTTCTAGGCAATTTAAATGTTTCAGCAGGTAGGAAAACAGAGTGGTCAGAATCCAGTACATCCAGGTGTAATTTAATATTATGCTGTTATAAACAAGGACCATGCAAGGCAAATGCACAAGTGGCCCCACAGTTCCCATTTTGACTGACTGTGCAATATGCCACTGTACTTCACGGACAACATTTCTACCTTGGTGCAACTGTAGCTACCATAGGTGTAACATCAAGTTGTTTCTAGGCAGCTAGTCATTTCAGCCGGTGTATCAGGCCACCACCTTGTTTTTAAACTACCCATACTGCATATGTTTTCTTTGTTTTATATTGGATAAACACTGGCTTTTTATCCTCCTTGCCACATGCCCTAGGACAAGCAAATACTGTATGGCAGATTTGTAGTTAAATACAGTAGTGCCTCGCTTAGCGATTGCTTCGTTTAATGATGTATTCGCTTAACGATGGATTTTTAAAAAGAATTTTCCGCATCGTTTAATGATGTTTCCTCTGGGTGATTTTTTCTTAGCGATTTTGAGACCATGCTTCGCATAGCGAATGCATTTTGGGTCCCCTGTTTCGCTTAACAATGTCCGTTTTTACAATTTAAAAAGTGTCTTAAAATGTTCAAAAATGTTTTAAATGCTTGGAATCATTAGTGCACCTTCTAAAACGTGTGCAAACTTAAATTGGCTTTGTTCTGAATCTTCGTTAATTTTTGGTGAATTTTTTTCTCCCCCTTTGGAATGCATTGAACCCAAGTTTGACAGCTCCGAACAAAGCCAAATAAAGTTTGCACACGTTTTACAAGGTGCTCTAATGAATCCAAGCATTTAAAACAGCTTTTGAACCTTTTAAGGCACACTTACAATTGCAAAAATGGACATCGCAAAACCATTGAAATGCATTGAATAGGCTTCAATGCATTCCAAAGGGGGAAACATTGTATCGCTTAGCGATGTTTCCTATGGTGATTTTCGCTTAAGGACGGCAATCCGTTCCCATTGGAACGGATTATCCGGTTTTCAATGCATCTCTATGGGAAAACGTGTTTCGCTTAGCGATGTTTTTTCGGAACCAATTAAAATCGTTAAGCGAGGCACCACTGTATAGACTAGAAATGGAAACAGGCAAGTTTGAAAGATTGTTTGAACTAAAGCTTGATAGAAAGTGATTTTCCTGTAATATTTCTAGTTTCTTCCTCCAAGGGATGTAGGGCTGGGGAACAGCCTCCTTTATTTATGTAATATCACATGCTCTTGCCTAAACTCACCTAAACACTAGTCATCCTGAACTGGACTTCGAACACTTGCCAGTTTTTCTCCAAAATTGGTGTTTCCACTTGTGCATGCAGATCTTTAGATTTTGAGCATATATTTTTTTTGTATAATTTTGTACTGTCAATCTCCTTAAATACAGTATACAGCATATGGCATATAATAGCTTGCTTGAGTTATTCCTATTATTTACTTTCTGCCTCCCCCCCCCCCGGTTTTTAGACTTTTAAAAAAATCTAGAATATTTCTACCTTTCTAAAAAACAGTGCTAGAGATCCAGTTTTCTTTGGTTTGCTTCCTGCTGTATAAGGCTCCTGTTCCTGCATCATATGTTGACTTGGAGACATGTTCATTAAAGTTTGAGCAGTGAGAGGGGGTTGGTCGTGGTGGTCTGCTTTAGAGTCTTCAGACAAGTTGACTGAAATTGGTATCAAAGTGATCCCTCCAGTGTCATTTGCAATACCTAGAATACACCCACAAGTTACGAATATATTTATTTAGAAATTAACTTAATGACATGTAAATATTATTTACAGTAGATATCTGTTAATCTCAAGAAACTTATAAACAAAAGTTTTCTTCATTCATTGATTGCAATTAATATTCATATGATGCCTATAATTGAACATTACAAAGTGTGCTTTCCACAATACTTAAGAAAGGTCTCAGTGAATTGAGACCTTAAACCTTGACAGAGGCCAGCAAACGATATCCCAACTAGCCCAGTCCCCCACCAAGGTATGCAATATCCAATACTGGTTATTTCAGTACCTTAAAAAGAAAATCTTATATTCTCACAGAAGTGAAAATGGAACTAGAGATGGGCCTTTAATGTCTAAACGAAAGACTGAAAATATAAGAGGCTGTTTTCCATGTAATCTGTGTTCCTCTGATGACTGTCAAAAGCAAGCTCTCTAAATACAAATGATTGGTTTTTGAGAGGGGTACACAAATATTTCATGTTTCTTTTGCATTTCCCCTTTTGTGTAATCTTTCCCTGTCCTTTCATCCCTTGTCTGTCAAAACACTAGAGAAATTTTTCATCCAATATCACTGCAAGCGTTGTCAGCAACCAATCAGAATGTCTGTAGTGGAACTTTTGAATTTGTACAGTGCCTGGAACCCACTGTAGAGTGCTCTTTGCTGCAGTTGTTCCTGATGCCCTCCATCTTGGATTTCTACCTGCCCGCCTGTTTGCTGTACCTCCCCTCAGTTCCCCTCAGTTCCTTTCTCATTTTCTCCTTTATTTTGGGGGAGATTTCTTCCCACTTCTTCAGATTATTTTTGCTGCTGCCAGGCAGCCTGCATATGTCAGAGTGCCTCCTTGAGGTGATGATGATGATTTAATTCTTTCCCCCCTCTTCTCATTCTCTTTTGGTCATTTCTTGAATTATTTTTTCTGCTGGCTGGCCTGCCTGCTGAGCTCAAAGAAGGAAAAGCATGTGTGTGTGTGTGGGGAGGTGAAGGTAAAAGAGAAATCCACCCATATTCTAGTAGTTTAGGTTTATATTTTGGCTTTGCCTTTTTTCCATTCTTGGTTTGTAGTTTTTGGAAAAGAGAACTCTCTCTCTCTCTATCTCTCTGTGTTTTGCTATTCTCTTTTTCATCTATATTGCCATGGATGACATATTAACATATCAATCAGTGCCTGCATAATCTAATAATGATATCTTCTTGTTGCCTGTTGCCGATGACAATGAAAATGATGAATTTAATAATATGAACTACTGTCTACATAGATGACGATTTTTCCTTTTCTTACAATGTTGCCTGTTTTTGAAGTAGACCGATTCTATGTTGTGCTGCTTCTGCTTTTTGGAGCAGTTGAGGGTTCTTCAGAGCTTTTGGAGTGCCAGAAAACACAAATGGGGATACCAGAAATATGTGATCATTTGTGTGTAAAATAGAAGGGTTGCTACACAAAAAAATTAAAAAATGAAATACTTACTCTGCAAAAGCATTGAAAACAAAAAATGAGAATTTTAAACATACAGATTCCTAAATGGAACAATAAATTAAGTAACTAGCAGTTTATTGCTCTCTTGTAACCTCAAGTATCAGCTGCCTAAGGTGGCCATCTCATTCTTATTAATGGAACAGTTGAGTCAGTTTACACCTAAATGTTCATAATAATTAAAATCTTTAAGAATAAGAATCAGCATTGAGGAACAAAGTATAAACTAGTGTTATATTTTTTATGTACCATGCAATGGAATTGTCATCTTCTGTCCTGTTACTGTAGTTGTTGCTACAGTAAGAACCGTCTGTTCAGGTGAAACAGGAAGATTTTCATCAACAAAGCTTGACATTGGGGCAATTTTTAGCTTAGTCCCTTCTATGAGATCTTTTTCCAAAGACTTCTCTTTCGGGCTTTCATCTCCAAAAAGTCTTCTTTTGGCACTTCCTGCCACAGGAGAACTATACCGATCATGAACAGAGATTGGAGACAACAACTGCATGTCTAAAATAGAGGAAGCAAGGCAACAAATTACAGGATAGCTTGAAAATTTTGGAATGAATGTTGAGACATAGAATAGCCCTATCCTAAAAATATAAAATTCTATAATTTTAAAATGTTTCCTACAGTTAAAGTTTCAAATTGCAATAATAATAATAAATCTTCCAGAATCTACACAATTGTGGCCTTCAGATATTTCTAGACTTCCAGTTCCCATATTTTCTCATCACTACTATGTTGGATAGGGCCACGGGGAGCTCCAGTCTAAGAACCTCTGGAGAACTCAACAGTTGTGCACATATAACAGAGTGACCATTAATTCTGAAGTGAACTTTGGTAGAGAACACAGTCCAGCAATCTGCAGGAAGTGTGGAATGAATAAAGAAAGCATTCACATTAGGCTGTTTTTTCTTAACTTTGTTTAAATGTTCTTTTCTTTGGGAAACTATTTATTTAACCATTTTTATCACTGCTATAATATCAGTGTAAACGGCATTCCGTGTCTAGTCATGCTGGCCACGTGACCATGGAGGATTGTCTGCGGACAAACGCTAGCTCTATGGGTTGGAAACGGAGATGAGCTTTGCCGCCTAGAGTCGGACGTGACTGGACAAAATTGTCAAGGGGAATCTTTACCTATCACTGCTATCCCTGATACGAAATATAAATATTCACAATCTCAGGGACATACAAATTCTTCCAGTGAGCCACTAAGTACAACATTATTACTATGAACCCTGCGATTGGGTTCATTAAAAGTTGGGAGCATTTCCTCTTTTTTTGCTGGGAAATGATGACTGAGTCTCCTTTTGAACAGTAAAACATTTATTCAGTTTGACATTTTGTGAATCTACTACAACTTCTAATGGTTCAGAACAACTGAGATATGGTAACTGTTCAATTTGGGAAGACGAAAACTCTATAAATTAACAAGATTCATTGAGGGGCTGCTTTGATTGAGAGTGTAGCTGAATATCTTGCTAGGCTGTTTCAAGGAACCTTGACATAACTTGAGCATATTTATCATATTGCAGTGGAAATTAAAATATTGATTGTATGGTTACTGGTTTTAATGCCAAAAAAGGTTTTGATTGATTGATAATAACAATTAAGCTAATCTGTCAGAACAACACTGTAACTGTTTCTTAGTTTTTGAAGATGAAAAACAATGATATGTATTACAGTCTTTAACATAACCATAAATAATTTATTTTTAACCCCCTTACCTAGGGAATCCACTTCCAATATCTCAGATCTTTCAAGTACTAAACACAGTATCCTGAACGTACCTCGTCTAAGATTTCCCCCAAGGTCTGTTCGAACCTCTTTTACTCGAGGATGCACTATAGGAGATGCTGAAATCATGGGAAAATGTCCTATTCCTCTTCCACCATTTCCAATTTCAAAATTACATGGAAATATTACCTAAAGAAGAGAAGAGGCAATTTTAAGAAATAGAAATAATACTGTTTTAGAAGTTACAGACAGATTTCTTCAGTAAAGGACACTGACTTTAAAGAGATTTCAATCATTAGACTTTTTTCTAATCCAAGCAAAAATGATTTCTGTATAAGAATAATTTCAATTCTCAGTGATTTGTCTGCTGACATACTTCTTCACAGGTAGGAACCTTGTTTTCAGAAGCTTGAAGGGCATCCCACAGAGCAGAATCAGTTGTCCAGGCAAGGCTTTCAAGAATTTGTTCTTCAATGCTGTTGAGATGTTTCACCATATCTCGAGAAAGGCCTTCCTCTGATCGAATCAATACTTCAATCACCTTGAATGCAAAGTCATTTTTGTTACACATGAACAATGCAAATTAAAAATAAACATCCCTCCCCTCCATCTCAGACTGCTTGTTCTTCAAAATATTTTCTTCCACTTATTTCGTCAAGTTACATGTTTTCCTGTGCTCTTTCAGTATGTTTCTCAAATCTTCTCTCTAACACTATTTTCTTAAAAAAAAAACCACTAAGAAACTTCTATGTTTAAGCCACATAATCATTTTCCATAAAAAATGCTCTCTAGGTCTCCCCAGTATTAAATATTTAATATTTTATTTATTTATTTAAAATACTTATGCTGCCTTTCTCCTGAAGGAACCAAAGCGGCTTGCAGTATTTAAAAGAAAGGTAAAAATCGGATAATAAGTTATTACAATATTTTAAAAAAGCATTAAACAACTATGATATTAAAAACACACAGGAGCAATATTAAAAACACAAGTAAAACACTGAATAAAAAGCTGCTTTAAAAATTCCCCTTAGTCAACCAGCCATTTAAAGAAAAGCCTGCCTGAAAAGAAAGGTGTTTGTCTGCTTTCAGAAGGACAGCAGAGATGAGGCCAACTTGGCTGGCCTCCTCTGTAGGACGAAGTTCCAGAATCTAGGAGCAGCAAGAGAGACTGCCTTCTCCCACATCCCCAACAAACGTGCCTGTGGTGGTGGTAGGCCTAAGAGAAAGGCCTGATGATCTTAATAACTGGTTAGGCTTATAAAGGAAGATATGGTCTTTTAGTTAGATTGGATCTAAGTCATTCAGGGCTTTGTAAGTTAAAACCAGCATTTTTTACAAATACAAATACAAACAAGGAGTGATTTACAGTGCACAACATTAAGAAATTTCCAGTGTATATACAAGTCTGTTAAATAGAAATGCAACAAAAGCACATTATAAGGAGCATTGGTACGTATCCCCTACAGAGTGTTTACTGGTTGCAAAACTGGGCTCATTGTTGAGTACTGTGTGAAAGTTTACATACATGAAATGCATCTTCATCTATGCTCACCTTATAAAAATAGAATGGCCTGATGTTAAGAACTTCAATGATCCAAGGGAAAGTGCGTGATGAACTATATGCAAACAGCACAATTTCCAAACAACACGCAAAGAGGGAACAATGGAAAATATCTTGTTCTAAAAGAGCCTAGAAGGAAAAATCAAAGAGCACCATTATGCATATAACAAAACTAAAAAGTGTGCTTCTCCAGTTGTGCTAAGGAAAGTCAAGCTATTCAATCAATTTCATTAACAGAAAGCTGAGTTATGGGGAAAGTTCTCCAACATTAACAAACTCATGATGACCCTGCCTTTCCTGGTATAGCTAGGAGTTATCAAAGATGGCTCTGTTGCCACAGACAATTCTTTTTAAAGAACTGTCAAGAATTAATCTCTTTTAAAAGAAAGAACTTCATATAGGAAAGGTATTCATGTAATTACTATAAATGGACAATCATTCATTTCTGATTGTATTTGGAGTAACAGAATTACCATATTTTTCCATATATAAGACTATAGTTTTGTCTAAAAATTTTAGACTAAAAATTGAGGGTTGTCTTATACACCGAAGTAAGCTAAGGAGAATACAAAAACAAGTGAAGGGGAAAGCAGGGATCAAAACGGTCCTGCAGGACTTTAATCCCTGCTTTCCCCTCCACTTGCTAAACCTTAGCAAAAGGAAAGCAGGGATCAAAGCGCTACAGGATCACTTTGATCCCTGCTTTCCCCTCTGCTTGCTAAGTCCCATGGGGCTTAACAAAAGTAGGGGGAAAGAATCAAAGCAATCCCGTGCTGTATAAGGAGGAAAGGGATCAAAATCATTGTGTAGCTGCAAGATTGCTTTGATCCCTCCCCCCCTTTTGCAAAGCCCCACGGGGCTTAGCACGAAGGGAGAAAGCAGGGATCAAAGCAATCCTGCAGCGCTTTGATCTCTTTCCCCCTACACTTGCTAAGCCCCACTTAGATTTCTTAATTTTGGGTTAGAAAAGTGGGGGGGTATCTTATACATGGAAAAATACGGTAATGCTGCTATTGCAAATATCACCAACTCCGCAGATCAGGAATGGAGAATGTGCAGCCCTCTAAAAACTCTTGGGTTGTAACTCCCATCAGCCTGGAAACGTCTGGAAGATCACACATTTTCTATTTCCATTTTTCATGGTAGGAAAATAAGCCCTTTCAGTACAGAATAGAACACCATCTCAGTTCAGTTTAGTGGTGTTGCAATCCTATAACCATATCTGTAGGACGAAAACAGTACAACAGGACTTACTTCTGAATAGACACGCATAGAGTTGTGCTCTAATCCATCCTTTTTAAATACAAAGGTGCAGCACTTTCAGAAAAATTGAAGCATGAATGAATTCTTTATTAAAATAAAACAGAAAATGCTGTAGATAGCTTGTAATCTGTGGCTTACGCGTTTGTATTGTTTGACAGCTAAACTGTCAATGAATGTGCAAACATCCAAAAAGGAATAATACGGTACCAGACCTAGGCAAGAGTTGATCAAAGTCTAGGAACATAATCAGCTGGCCTAGGAACTCAAAAGGTAGGTATCCTAAGATAGACAGGACAATTACAATAAAGCTTCCTTCAGGTTTCATGTGATAGAGGCATTTAAGAGTAGACTGTCCAGCTAATGACACCCATCAACCACAGGAACAGATAATCTGATTGTTCTGGGTTTTTCGGGCTCTTTGGCCATGTTCTGAAGGTTGTTCTTCCTGACGTTTCGCCAGTCTCTGTGGCCAGCATCTTCAGAGGACAGCAACCTGTCCTGTTAAGATGCCGGCTACAGAGACTGGCGAAACGTCAGGAAGAACAACCTTCAGAACATGGCCAAAGAGCCCGAAAAACCCAGAACAACCATTAGATCCTGGCCGTGAAAGCCTTCGCGAATAAACAGATAATCTCTTCTCCTTAGCACAACAATACACCCACAACAATACACACTAATCACCCATCTACAGAAAAAGACAAAAGCCTATCTCACAGCCATAAATACTGCACTCCCAAGCCAACTACACCAGAGCAGAGGTTGCTGTCCTCTGAAGATGCCGGCCACAGAGACTGGCAAAATGTTAGGAAGAACAACCTTCAGAACACGGCCAAAGAGCCCGAAAAACCCACAACAACCAGTAGACTGTCTCTCTCTATTGCCCAAAAGAGAAAAGGAAGAAAAAAAATTCAGTATAAGTTCAAACATTCAAACCTGAAGGTTGGTCCACTTAGTTCAGTGTTACGCTGATGAACTATAGGTTCAACAGGATGACAAACATGTATTTGTGGAAGCTTCTATTTGCAATTGTATCTGAGACTTTCTGAAGGTAAATCTTGTACACTACTACCAAGATCCTGCACAATAAAATACCTGTTAGGTCTAATTCTATCTTCAGAGTAAGGGAACAGCCGCCCATGATCTGGTAGAATATACCAGATGGGCGGGATATAAATCAAATAAATAAATAAACAAACAAACAGGGAGAATAATCTACGAATTATGAACCTTCATTAAGAGAAGCTGTCCATTTCCTCACCCCACAATGGAGAATAATCTTATGAACCTTCATTAAGAGAAGCTGTCCATTTCCTCACCCCACAATAGATTACTTACAGACATGTCTTTGCCATGTAGTCTTTTCATTTCCTGTACCATTATGGTTTCCAAGATTTTATAATACAGAATTTCTGCCAGCTTTAACCGGTTAACAGCAAAATCTGAAATTTAAGCCAAACACTGATGAAACTAATGTTTAAGAGTTCTGCAGACTTTATCTGTAAATTTTTTTTCTAAAGCAACTCAAAACATATGTCACTTTATACTGACAAAGATAAGATCACACATTTCAGACATTCAGACTGAAATCCTAGGGACACCTACCTAAGGCTAAGTTCCATTTAGCAAAATACAAACTTCTGAGTAGAAGTCTAATAAGAGTAGTGCTGTTCTATACACAGATGCCTCAGAGTTAACCAAACTAAATATACCAGAAGTTACTTCTAAGTAAACATGCATGAAATTCAGCTGCAAATGTAACAAAGATAGTTCAAACTAGTTGAATAAATATTTGTAGTATCGTCTAAAAAAAATTTCATAGTACAAAAAACCCAGTAAGAAACATTCCTAATTTATAATGATTATGCTAGGAATTAAAAATTGTGGTATAAACAGCTTTTCATAATTTATTTTCTTTCTTAATTTCTATTATCATCCTACCTATATGAGATCCTGGCTGATCATCCGTTGACCGAGTATAGTTCTGACAGAAAACATCACCTGTCTCTCTCACTCTGTTAATGATGCTTTCCATAGGGTTTCTTACACAAGATCTATAACAGAATACAAAAAATAGTTATTACACTTACCTGATATACAAAATGATGTACAGTGGTGCCTCGCTTAACAGGTGCCCCGTTTGACGAAATCGAACAGCGATTAACTTTTTGCGATTGCTTTGCGAAACAACGATTAACTTTTTGCGAGCGCTTTGCGATGTTCCCTATGGGGAAAAATCGCTTTGCGAGCGATGATTTTTTAACAGCTGATTGGCGATTCCAAAATGGCCACCAGTTAAAAAAAATGGCCACCCGCTGTTTTCTGGGACGGATTCCTCACTTACCGGGCAGTGAAAATGGCCGCCGTATGGAGGATTTTTGCTTTAAAGGTGAGTCTGAAGCCCATAGGAACGCATTAAAGGGGTTTCAATGCATTCCTATGGGCTTTTTAATATCGCATAGCAACGAAATCGCTTTGCAGTGATTTTTGCTGCACCAATTATCGTCGCTATGCAAGGCACCACTGTACATATATTTTGATAGGTTCTCCTTTGTACTTTTTAAGTATAAACAGCAAAATATTCTGAATGGGTTAGACACAATTTAAGTGAACTGAGCCTGAGGGAGAGATTGTTTGGGTCTCTGCATGTAACACTTAATTGGAATTACAGTGGTGCCTCACTTGACGAGGATAATCTGTTCCAGCGAAAATTGCTGTAGAGCGAAATCCTCGTCAAGCAAAATAAAAAAGCCCACTGAAATGCATTGAAAACCGGTTCAATGCGTTCCAATGGGCTAAATACCTCAGCGTCCAGCAAAGATCCTCCATAGGGTGGCCATTTTCGGGTGCCTGTAAAGGGAAAAATCCATCCTAAAGCACAGCGGTGAGCCATTTTACACAGCGGGCGGCCATTTTGAAACCTGGCGATCAGCTGTTTTGATCGTCGTAATGCGAAGAATCGGTTCCTGAAGCAGGGAACCGATCGTCGGGAAGTGAAAAAAGCCCTTTGAAACATCATTTTGTGATTGCAAAACCTCATCATCAAGCGGATTCGTCATTTAACGAGGTAATCGTTAAGCGAGCCACCACTGTAATACCTAAACTGAATAAGGGAAGAGGCACACAAGAGGGGAGGCAGGCTTCAGCTTTATAAGCAACGGAGGATGAAGAATATATATACACGTATATATGATATATATAAACATTATTCCTTGAGTAAGTCTAATTAATTCCCAAAGTTTTAGAAAGAGGCCAGAAAAAAAGAGGTTACCTACCTGTAACCATAGTTCTTTGAGTGGTCCTCTGTGAATTCACACATATGTGTCTTGTCTGCACCTGCCCTGATGTTCTCAGAAGATTCTAGAGCTGAAAGTAACAATTTAGTGGTGTAATTCCCCCACAAGGCGTATGCTCCTCCCACCCACCATTCTCCTCAGTTCCTAGATTTTTTTTCCATCAGGTGTATAAGAGTACAACTTTAAGTGAGCCGTGATGGAGAGAGGGGAGGATGGGTGAGTAGTGTGAATTCACAGAGGACCACTCAAAGAACTATGGTTACAAGTTGGTAACCTCTTTTTCTTCTTCGTGGCCTCTATGAATGCACACATATGGGTGACTAGCAAGCTTCACTTACCAGCAGGTGGGACATCACGGGAGGAAGGATGCCAACACAGCTCTGCCGAATGAAGCATCTTGTCGTGCTCTGACATCTAGCCGGTAGTGCTTGACGAAGGTCGACGGAGTGGACCATGTAGCAGCACGGCAGATGTCTGGGATCTCGGTTTCACGCTGGAAGGCAACTGAAGTAGACAGGGCTCTGGTTGAATGAGCCCTAAGGTGCTCAGGAGGTGACTTTCCTGAAAGTTTATAGGCTAGAGAAATGGGGTAAACTATCCATCTAGAGATGGATTGAGAGGATGCATGGGCATCTTGTGGGGGCCATGGAAGCAAATGAAGAGTCTATTGGACCTCCTGGAGGATTTACTCCTGTCTAAGTAAAAGGACAGAGCCGTCTGACATCCAAAGTGTGGAGCATATGCTCTAATGGAGACGATGGAGATTTAAAGAAGGATGGCAATATAATGGGTTGGTTGATGGGAAAATCAGAAACCACTTTAGACAGAAAGAACACATCAAAGTACAATGTCACCTTGTCAGGCTGAATTGGGTAAAGGGTGGGTTGCATCGAAGGGTGGCAAGTTCACTAGCCCTTTCTGCTGATGTGATAGCCACATGGAACACTATTTTACAGGTAAGTAACTGCAGGCTTGAAAATGACATGGGTTCAAATGGTGGATGCATTAAGGCATTTAGTACAGTGGTGCCTCGCATAGCAACGTTAATTGGTGCAGCAAAAATCGCTGCAAAGCAATTTCATCGCTATGCGATTTTAAAAAGCCCATAGAAATGCATTAAAACCTGTTTAATGCGTTCCTATGGGCAAAAAACTGACCTTAAAGCGAAGATCCTCCATATGGCGGCATTTTCGCTCCCTCTTAAGCAAAGAATCCGTCCCTAAACACAGCGGGCGGCCATTTGTTTTACCCAGTGGCCATTTTGGAACCGCCGATCAGCTGTTAAAAAACCATCGCTTTGTGATGATCGGTAAGCGAAACGGAACCGATCATCGCAAAGCGAAAAAAAACCATTTAAAACATTGCAATGCGATCGCTTTTGCGATCACAAAATCTTTGTCGCTATGCGGTTTCGTCGCTGAACGGAGCGCCCGTTCAGTGAGGCACAACTGTATATGTAAGTATATATGTAAAGTAAAAACAAATTTAATGGCATATGGACAGTAGGATGTGAGAACAGTTTTGCAGAGCGGAAGTTGTCAGGTTGGTGGGCAACAATGGCAGAAATATGTATCTTCAGAGTGGATAATGATAGGCCAAGTTCAAAAAGATGGAGGAGGAAGGTAAGTAAGGTATTAAGTAAAATGGGTACAGCAGGTAAGTTCTTATCAATGGTGAAACCGATGAATGATTTCCATTTATTTTCATATAAGGATAGAGTTGAAGGTTTATGTGCCCATTGTAAGATTGCCATCACGTCGGGGATATCTTCCATGCTGTAAGATCGAGAGAGGTCAGATTTGGATGGTGGATCATGCCCTGGTTGAGAGTCAGAAGATACGGGATTGGAGGAAGACGAACCAAGTCTGTGGACATCGATGTCAGGTGAGTGAACCAGGGTTGCTGGGGCCACTTCGGGGCTATGAGGATTGCATGAGCCTTGAACTGCCGAAGCTGAATGATTGTACACTGGATGAGCGGTATCGGTGGAAAGAGGTAAAGGAAATCCTTGGACCAGTCCACCATGAATGCGTCCCTGATCGATTTGTTGTCCAACCCAGCTCTGGAGCACAATATCGTGCATTTGCGGTTAAGCCTTGATGCAAAAAGATCGATTGATGGAGAGCCCCACTGATGGCATAGTTGATGGAATACAGTGTTGTTCAGGGACCATTCGTGTGTCCCCAATGATAAATGGCTGAGGTGGTCCGTGAGATAGTTGTCGTTTGTGGTAATATGAACTGCTATTGGAAATATGTGGTTCTGATAGAACCACTCCCATAGGTTGACAGCAAGATACAGAAGGGAAAGGGAGTGAGTACCTCACTGCTTGTTGACATAAAAAAGTGCTGTTATATTGTCCGTAGCTAATTGGATGACCTGTCCCTCAATAAGTGGGAGAAAGGTATTGAAAGCCCCAAGTAACTCTAGGGGGTTTATGTGAAGAGTCTGTTCTTGCTTTGACCACAGGCCGTGAATTTTGTGATGTCAGCAGTGGGCCCCCCAGTCCAGAAGGGCTGGCATCAGTAGTGACCTGTATCATGGGCTGAAGGGGCAAAAAGGATTGACCAGTTCGCAAGTTTGGAAGGTAAGTCCACCATGTAAGTTGGGTGGCTAATTCTTTAGTGACTGTTAGCATTTTGGTAGGGGGATCTATCATGGGATCAAACAGGGCTAGAAACCAAGATTGGAGTGGTCTCATTTTGAGTCTGGCATGTAGAATCAACAATGTCGTGGAGGCCATGAGGCCGAGAAGGCGCTGAACGTGATGTGCAGATACTGTTTGAAGAGGTTGGAACAAGGCAACTGACTTCTTTATTTTCGCAAATCTTTCACGAGGGAGGAAATCTTTTGCTTGTAGTGAATCTATCTCTGCCCTGATGAAGGTGGCTGTTTTGGCTGGAGATGGGCCTTTTCCAGTGTATGTAGGGTGGTGTCTCTTGCAGCTACAGCCTCGTGGTATGATGCCGTGACTATCAGCCAGTCATTGATGTAAGGGTAGATGTTTATGCCCTGGAGACGTAGAAAGGCTGCGACCGGTGCCATGCATTTTGTAAAAGTTCTTGGTGCTGTAGAGAGTCCAAATAGGAGGGAACAGAATTGGAAGGCAGCATTGTCTAAATGAAAACGGAGGTATTTTTGATATGAGGGATGTATTGAGACGTGGAAATAGGCATCCTGTTTATGGATTATGACAAACCAGTCGTTCTGTGAAAGCAAAGTGATAATGGTACAGTGGGGTCTTGACTTGAGAACTTAATCCGTATTGGAAGGCGGTTCTCAAGTCAAAACGTTCTCAGGTCAAATCTGCATTTCCCATAGGAACGCATTAAAAACCATTTGATCCGTATCTGCTCTTTTCCGTCCATAGAAACTAATGGGAAGCTGCTATTCTGCCTTCGACCACTAGAGGGGGATATTTTGTTTCTTTTTTTCTTAGGTCAAGAAAGGTTCAGGGAAGGCAGGGAAAATACAGTCCAGGCAGGACATATTTGGAATAGAATCCATTATGCCAATTGAATTGTGATACAGGGATAATAGCCTGCTTGGAAATCAAAGTAGCGATTTCACCCTGAAGGATGGAAGAGAAGGGCGTGGGTTGGATGAGTCCCACAAGGGGTAGGTTACAGAATTTAATTTTGTAGCCATAGGCAATGACAGTTGGTTGTTAGTAATATTTTGCCAGTAAGGCAAGTATGGTGCCAATCTGGTCTGAAAGGAGGGTTGTCGGTCTCTAGGGGGAGGGAGACATTGAAAAATGTATTCAGTATTGCTTACCCTTCCTTTGATTCTTGGGAAGGGATTGCCGTTGATGATTTGCATTGCGGGGATAAAACGAAGGAAGAAGCAGCTGTGGGGTTGGGAGAGACCTTTCTGACTGCTGAGGTCGAAACTATTTGTATGAATGATATCACAGATACTGATATTGAGAATAGGATTGGGAATATGGTTGATTGGGACAGTACTGAGATCTTTAAAAGATTGAAAATTGCTGAATGGAGTAAGGTATCACCATTTTGCGCATCTTATGAAAGTTCTCCATGATTTCATCAGTTTTGTTGTTGAATAGGCCAGTCCCATCGAAGGGTAGATCTTCAACCCATGATTTGGTGTCATCTGATATTGTGGATGATCTGAGCCAGGCATGACGTTGTATTGATATGGAGACCAATGTTTTAGAAGCAGCTTCTGCTGCATGACGTGCAGCAATTCATTGGTGTTTAGCCAAGGTAATGGCTTCGGAATGGGTGTTAATAAGGTCAGTCTTTATCACTTCGGGTGCTGATTCAAGAAGGGGAAGTACTTTGTTCCAAAGATAACGTTGATATGATCCCATAGTGGCCTGGTAATTGATGTTCCTCAATAAGGAAGATTGTAGGGAATAGATCCTTCTACCGAGAATATCTAGCTTCCTTCCTTCTTTATTCATAGGGGTGACTTTAGATTTACTGTAGCCCTTAGATTGACTAGATTCCACTATTATGGAATTTGGTAAAGGATGTTTATTTAGGAATTTGATGTCATCACCATGAGTTTTATAGAGGTTTTCAGTTCTGCGTGAAATCTGCATCATTATCCCATTTGTCTTTAATGAGTTATAAAATGGATTTGTTGAAAGAAAGACTGACTAGCGAAGACCTTCCCTGAATGATGTCGTCAAAAACAGGATCTGTTTTAGCGATGAAGATTCCTCGATGTTAAGGCTCAAGCCATTCTCGATATAAATTGAGAGTATGATCAAAAATCTTCTGAAGGAAAAGGAAGTTGGTTATCCTTGGTCTCATCAGGAGGAGTGGGGAGATCAGGAGATGAGTGATGAGAATAAATAGATTGTTCATTCTCAAAGGAAGATTGTGAATAAGGTGATGTGGGTGACGGTTCATGATGTGGAGTATCGTAAGGTTGATGTTCTCGAGTGTCCGTTCGATCTATGACATTGGTAGGGGTATGAGCAGGTAGCAAGTGATCATCCCTACTCTATGACAATGTCAGTTTGGACGTGGACGATGCTGAAGGGACCGATATGTGCTTCTTGGTTCGGCCTTGGCTTTGTGGAGGTTGAGAGGGTTCAGAAGTAATACAAGCTCGCTTTTGTTGTTCAACATGACAACGTTTGAAATGTAACTGCAAGACAGAAGAGTCAAAAACTGGTATGGCATCATCGGGAAAGGGGGGAAAAAAATCCCCATACGGTGTCATGGGTCTCTGTGGGGAGACATGCTTCCTTTTCTCTGTTTGTCTTCTGGAAGAAAGAGGGGGAGTTTCGGGGTCAGAAACCGAGATTTCAACTGCCCGCGCTGATGCAGGGTTGGAATGGGTCGAGGCCGGGCTGGACGGGGGCACAGCCGGGGAATGGCCAATACTTGGTGTCAGGCTCAATGTCACAGCAGAGACTATTACCTGTTGAACGTCCTCCTGATTAGAGGCAGAGTCATGAACGTCCTTCGAGGATTCCTCCAAAATGGGAGAGGGTAGAGATGCATGAGGGGCTCCAGGCGGGAGGGTTTATCCGTTTTTGGATTTTTTGCTGTGGATTTTCTTCGAAGGAGGATCAGGTGGTTTAGTGGCGGATTTAGCTGACGATTATGGCTTAGAAATTTTCTTTTTTTGTGCCTTATCCTTAGGTGGAATGGGGACCACGGTCTCAGGGGCAGGCTGAGCTGCAGGGAGTCTCTTGCCCAGTGAGACAGGGGATCTTACCAGTTCCCTGGAGAAACAAGGATTCATCATGGTTTGCCAAAGGTGAGATCTAAGCCTCTGTAGACGTTGTTTGAGTGCCGGTCCAGTGAGGTTTTTACAGACAGCACAAGAATGAGTAGGGTGAGATTCACCCAAACAGAAAAGACAGGGGCAGGCTGAGCTGCAGGGAGTCTCTTGCCCAGTGAGACAGGGGATCTTACCAGTTCCCTGGAGAAACAAGGATTCATCATGGTTTGCCAAAGGTGAGATCTAAGCCTCTGTAGACGTTGTTTGAGTGCCGGTCCAGTGAGGTTTTTACAGACAGCACAAGAATGAGTAGGGTGAGATTCACCCAAACAGAAAAGACACTGATCATGAAGAGGAGGTTGAGAGGGTTCGGAAGTAATACAAGCTCGCTTTTGTTGTTCAACATGACAACGTTTGAAATGTAACTGCAAGACAGAAGAGTCAAAAACTAGTATGGCGATCATCGGGAAAGGGGAAAAAAATCCCCATATGGTGTCATGGGTTTCTGTGGGGAGACATGCTTCCTTTTCTCTGAGAAGGGGGTGGGAATCAAAAGGGCAGGAAAAAGCGACAAAACACAGTAAAAGAGAAGCGCATAGCTCCAACTGATTAGGAAAGAGTAAAGAAAATAAGAAAGAGAAAAAGGTAGCCCCGAAAAGGGCTGTTTGGGCAACTAGCTTCAAAAAGGCTAAAGAGAAAGCTCAGTCTTCCGAAGGAGAACCGTACAGCTCGGCGGAAAAAAGGAACTTAGGGGAATGGAGGGTGGGAGGAACATATGCCTTGTGGGGGAAATCACACCACTACATTGTTACTTTCAGCTCTAGAATCTTCCGAGAATGTCAGCACAGGCGCAGACAAAAACCATATGTGTGCATTCACAGAGGCCACAAAGAAGAACCAATAATTTTAAAAATGTGAAAAAAGTAAACAGATTAACATCTGCCTCTAGGAACAAAAGTAGGTTTTAGACAGATCAAGAGCAAAGTTCACAGAAAAGTTTAGTAAGCATTTGAAAAAATGACCCCACATACAGCAAAAGAATAGCACAGACAACAGCTGCCCAAAATTCTTGAAGAACGGCTTTGACTACGATTAGAATGTTAGCTTGAACTCTAAAAAGCTATTGTCTTGTCCAGACTTTCTAACAGAACTTACCATGATAGAAAACAAATCAGCTATTAATACCAATTATATTGACTATGGTAGTTTAAAATATCTTTATTGGCTTCTATATCTCAGCAAATAGGACCCCTCCACAACTAACAGCAGGCTGGACTGTTATTCTGGTTAGCCAATTCTTTGTCTCTAATTTCTAACATTTCCACAAATACAATAAAACATGGCATGGCTAATTAACAAATAAAGAGCCTCTTAATTTAGGAAACTGAAAAGAAAGAAGAGTGTGAGCTAGAGCTAGTGGAATCTAAAGTCAGTAATGAACTTCTGGACTCAGTACATATAAGATTTTTCCAAATCTAGGGATCTAATGCAATTAAATCCCAGCAAAAATACAAAAAGTCCTCTAATAATAACATAATACCATGAGAGCTTTCTTCGTACAGTTTAACATCAGTAGGTGAATGTTGTTTCCAAGTATTCTTGAAAATGAATGGCCAACAGATTGGATATCACAAGTTTGCAGTTCTTTGCTATTCCCATACAATCATAACAGTGACACTATCTGAGGTGGTGTGATCTGATTACAAGTATAACTGATTTGCTGAGACTAATAAAAAACAGCAATTACTACACACTATTGTACAGTGCAGCTAGTCCCATGTTTCATCCACAGGATCACTTTTCATTTTGAACTACACAACTTCCACACTGACTGCCTGACAATAAAAACACATAACTTCAAATATCTGAAAAAAGTAACTTCACAAATCAATAATGGCTAGGATTAGCATGTTTCTCACCCTGAATTCAAAGAGCTATTTTAGATATAGCTAATCAAAAAATATATGGAATAGGAAGAACTCTCATTCCATACTGTAACTTGCTTTCAAAAACCTTGTATTTCTCAAGGAACATTTTGCTATGTAACACTGGGGTTATCCTCCAAGAAACACAACACAGTACTTTTGTCCTTGGTGCCTTTGATCTGAAAAAAATCAGAAAGACTAGACAAGAAGTCCTACAGAACACAATTTAAAAATAGAAGAAACAGTATCTACTTACTCAAAAATAGCCACAAGCTCTTCACTTGGCGCATTTTTCAATCCTGCTACAATGCTTTGCAACCGGCTTACACTCTGTGTTGCAGAAGCAACAGGAGTAATCACTGGTTCCTTTTCTCTCAGGTATCTCCTGCCAGTCAAAGGAGTTGAAGGTGCAAAGGATCTCTTCTAACAAGTCAAAGTGAAACTTGTTTAAAGTCTTTGGTCCATCATTAATTACATAAACACTGACACTACTGGAAAGAACAAATGACTCCAAAGTAGCAGTTCAAGAACTCAGTACATCAGAATGGAACTACAGTGGTGCCTTGCAAGATGATTGCCTCGCTGAATGAAAAACTCACTAGACGAATGGGTCCAGCGAGGTTTTTGGTACCTCACAAGACGATTTTTCCTATGGCAGTTTTCCACAAGATGAATGTTGCCGTTCAGAGGCTAGCCAAGCACCATTTCTGAAGATCCCCCCCCTTTCCCCTGCCTTCAGCAAGCCTCCGAATGGAAAAAGGAAAAAAAAAAAAAAAAAAGAAAGCCTTTTTACCTTCGGAGCCTTACCGAAGGCAGGGGGAAACGGTATAATCTTCAAAAATTGTGCTGGGCTAGCCTCTGCAAGCGCCCATTGTCACGTGGAGCGACCCCTGTGAGTCTTCAGATGGTGCATGGAAAGCCTCCGAAGGGCTCCGAAGCTGGCGCGCGCAGCTGCAGGGGACCTCAGTCAGTGCGCTGATGGTGCAGGGGAAGCCATTGGAGCACTGGTGGAGGTCCCCTGCAACCGCGCACGCCAGCTTCAGAGCCCTTCCCTGCAGTATCTGAGAACTCGCAGAGGTCCCTCCATGCGGTGATGGACACTTGCAGAGGCTTGCCAAGCACCATGTTTGAAGTTCCCGCCCTTTCCCCCTGCCTTCGGTAAGGCTCCGAAGGTAAAAAGGCTTTCTTTTTTTTTCTTTTCCTTTTTCCGTTCGGAGGCTTGCTGAAGGCAGGGGAAAGGGGTGGGATCTTCAGAAATGGTGCTTGGCTAGCCTCTGAACGGCAACATTCATCTTGTGGAAAACTGCCATAGGAAAAATCGTCTTGTGAGGTACCAAAAACCTCGCTGGACCCATTCGTCTAGTGAGTTTTTCATTCAGCGAGGCAATCATCTTGCAAGGCACCACTGTAGTTCCATTCTGATGTACTGAGTTCTTGAACTGCTACTTTGGAGTCATTTGTTCTTTCCAGTAGTGTCAGTGTTTATGTAATTAATGATGGACCAAAGACTTTAAACAAGTTTCACTTTGACTTGTTAGAAGAGATCCTTTGCACCTTCAACTCCTTTGACTGGCAGGAGATACCTGAGAGAAAAGGAACCAGTGATTACTCCTGTTGCTTCTGCAACACAGAGTGTAAGCCGGTTGCAAAGCATTGTAGCAGGATTGAAAAATGCGCCAAGTGAAGAGCTTGTGGCTATTTTTGAGTAAGTAGATACTGTTTCTTCTATTTTTAAATTGTGTTCTGTAGGACTTCTTGTCTAGTCTTTCTGATTTTTTTCAGATCAAAGGCACCAAGGACAAAAGTACTGTGTTGTGTTTCTTGGAGGATAACCCCAGTGTTACATAGCAAAATGTTCCTTGAGAAATACAAGGTTTTTGAAAGCAAGTTACAGTATGGAATGAGAGTTCTTCCTATTCCATATATTTTTTGATTAGCTATATCTAAAATAGCTCTTTGAATTCAGGGTGAGAAACATGCTAATCCTAGCCATTATTGATTTGTGAAGTTACTTTTTTCAGATATTTGAATTTATGTGTTTCTATTGTCAGGCAGTCAGTGTGGAAGTTGTGTAGTTCAAAATGAAAAGTGATCCTGTGGATGAAACATGGGACTAGCTGCACTGTACAATAGTGTGTAGTAATTGCTGTTTTTTATTAGTCTCAGCAAATCAGTTATACTTGTAATCAGATCACACCACCTCAGATAGTGTCACTGTTATGATTGTATGGGAATAGCAAAGAACTGCAAACTTGTGATATCCAATCTGTTGGCCATTCATTTTCAAGAATACTTGGAAACAACATTCACCTACTGATGTTAAACTGTATGAAGAAAGCTCTCATGGTATTATGTTATTATTAGAGGACTTTTTGTATTTTTGCTGGGATTTAATTGCATTAGATCCCTAGATTTGGAAAAATCTTATATGTACTGAGTCCAGAAGTTCATTACTGACTTTAGATTCCACTAGCTCTAGCTCACACTCTTCTTTCTTTTCAGTTTCCTAAATTAAGAGGCTCTTTATTTGTTAATTAGCCATGTCATGTTTTATTGTATTTGTGGAAATGTTAGAAATTAGAGACAAAGAATTGGCTAACCAGAATAACAGTCCAGCCTGCTGTTAATTGCGGAGGGGTCCTATTTGCTGAGATATAGAAGCCAATAAAGATATTTTAAACTACCATAGTCAATATAATTGGTATTAATAGCTGATTTGTTTTCTATCATGGTAAGTTCTGTTAGAAAGTCTGGACAAGACAATAGCTTTTTAGAGTTCAAGCTAACATTCTAATCGTAGTCAAAGCCGTTCTTCAAGAAAAATACTATATTGAGCTGACTAGAGAAAAGCAGGATAACTGTAAAATAAAGATTGTATTCACATCAGTCCTGGCTTAATAAATCATGATGTGCATAAGCAGAGTGCTAATACATGCAGCAAGAAAAATTGTACTTCACTCCTCTATTTGTATAAGCCTGAAAACAAATTAGAAATCTGAAGTATATCTCAGTATTATTTCCAAACTGGTTTAAAGCTACCTTCTAATTCTACCTTTGTAGGAAGCAACTGATTATGGTCTCCAATTCGCACATAATGGGAAATTGATCTTAAGTACTCCTTCCTGATTTACATACCTGCTCAAACCAAGGGAGTAAAACAAGAACTAACAGAATCAGTATAATATTTGTGCACATCACTGTTATGTCAGGAGTGATGGCTGGGCTGGCCCTTCAGACAGTGCATAGCTGTGGCAGCTAATGCATCCCATTAACTGTGAGATTTGTTTGGCTGCACTGCATGATTCTGGACAGAGAAGTGCTTAAACCTCCTCCACATGCTTCTGTTTCCACTGCCACCAGAGAATTACAAAGACCGGTAACACAGCAACCAATTGTTATCAGAACTAGCTCTGCTCAATTGTTTTCCCCCAGCCAAGACAGGAAGACTGGACAGAGAAACTGCCTATGCTGCAATTTCTCTAGATAGCCTTCCCATTATCTTAGGTCCAAGAGGACCCCAGTGGTTGGGCAAAATAATATCAACAACAACAATGGCAGCTAGCTCTAACAATTGCTTACTGACAGCAAACTGCAGCATTGGCTGCCTACCTCTTTCTTCTCCAGCAGCATGCAGGGAAGCATTTGGAGGTGTCAGCACCCTTCAGTGGGTAAACAGCCTTTCTCTCTTGAGTTTGGGGAGCAATGAGGGAGTGTCCGGAAAACTTGCTCAGGAAAGCTGATGAGCTGTGACTATGTCATAAGTTGTTGACAGTGTGCAGGAACATGTGGCGTCTACCTCTCTGAACATGTACAATGGTGTGAGTACCCTATCACAACAAAAAAAGCAAGCAAGCAAAATAAAAACAAACAAAACTAGTAGCTCTTGGACTTTGTTCAGATCAGATTTCTTAATTTTGGTGCCTCATATAGAACTACAATCTCTCTTCTTAAAAATGCAAACGTTTCTATTATAATGCATTAAGACTGTGTGACTGTGGTAGCAAAATTCCTTACAACTGTCTGACCTTCCTTAACATCAGAGAAGCAAAGACCTTCTAACTGGTATTAGATGAACTGCTGTAACCCTACAGGAGTGAAACAAATGGATAGAAAAAGGTACCAGAAAGAGAACCTTGGTAACGGTGCAGAAATGGGTGATAGTGAAGAGCAAGGAGACAGCGAAATTGAAAAGAACAGACTACACATATTAATCTGAAATGCCAAATCTTTGGCAATAAACTACTAAAAGAACACCCCCATCACTTTGAATCCATTAATTTGTACTACTAAATATACAATTACATTTTATGAATCACATTTTCATTTAAAAAAACAAACAACTACTTTGAGTCCATTAATTTGAACTACTAAATATACAATTACATTTTATGAATACTGTATATATACCTTTCTATCATAGAGTTAGTAAATATATGGTTTAAAATAATGCTCCTTTATGCCCTTGGCTTCCACCAAAAGGCCATCATGCAATTCACAGAGTGTGGCAATAATACATGGAGGCCCTTCTGATGTCCTGAAGTCAGAGATTTGGAAGTCTTCTGGCAAACCTTTTAAAAAAAAAGTGGGGTCTTGAGAAATAATCCAGTTCCAAAGCCATATGAAAACCTGTTATTTTATTAGGGTGGGCCAAAAACATACCTTTGAAAGACTGGTTCAATAAGTCCTTTTTATATGGACACAGAAGAGCATTTGCAAATATCAGATCCAAGCAGCACAGAAGCAAATGGTACGAATTCACTAAATCATCTCCAATCATACTGAAATTACCTTTGAAACAGACAATATCATGTCAATGAAAATTACAAAGCTAAATGATCCAGAATGAATATAAGAAAATCTAACCTACCTTTTGTGTAAACAAATAGTGTCCAGCAGAAATTGAATAGGTCTTTAACACTACAGGGTACCCGTCTATTGGGAGGGGAAAAAAGGCAAGTTTCAGTTTTGGAAGGTTTTTATTCTGAAAGACACTCAATGAATTTCAGACTGGAGACATGCTCTGGGTAATTAAATCCATTTGCAGCTAATAAAAGAATGCCATAAACTAGCAAAGGAATTTAGAACTTAATACATAATTCCATTAATTTTTCCTAAGCTCCAAAATTACATTATTTAAAAAAATGTTCCTGGAGGCTTTGTCAAATTGGACACCAGAGGAATTCCATAAGATTACACTAAGCATACTTTCTTAGATCACTGGATCTAAACTATTCCAGAACCCAAATCACTTCAGCAGTTACCTCTGTTTTCTACTCCTTTGTATCTTAGGCTGCTCTTCATAAGGATTTTTAAATATATCCAAAAATATTGGTGTAAACTTCTTGAAAATCACTGTTGATACTTCAAAATTTCTCTCCAGCCTCTCCACTCTCTCTCGAAATTCACAAGATATATTTGACATGTCCATCCACTTCTTCATTTTGCTAAAAAACTGAATTAAACTTAACAGAAAACAACACAAATTATATTTTTAACATACTTTCAGATTTTATTAGTATCCAAAGTATTTTATATTTGGGATTCATTTAAAGAAAGACCTATTTCACCTGATATATTTATTTGACTCACAGCTGAATGTGTGAACTGAACTCCTTAAAAAGTACTGTGAATGGATATAATGAAGATACAGTATAGTATTAATGTTGTAGTTACCAGCTAAACATGTATGTCTGAACTAGCCTCATAACAATTCTGTAAAAAAAAAATATCTAATACGAGAATCTACTATGAGAAACAGTGATTTACCTAAATTATCTAGGGCCAAAATCCTACTTACATTGCACAGCATAAACTGGAAATTATACAAGTACCGTGCACAATATTGTCAGACTTGCACACTCACACCGCACGCTGGTGAAATGGAAAAACTGTTTGTGCCCTTACTCAGCCAATATTTCACAATAGGATCATGAATATAGTATTTTAAACAACTAAGTAGGAATTCAGATCTAGGCTATACCCAGCACATCAGTACTTTCTTATTGATCCAGAACTCTTAGTCCAAATTAAGAGTAGATTCTGTTGCTTAGTGTAGTTAAGCACAACTACAACAGGTCTATTTAATCAATGGAACTTACAGAGGAGCTCTCTCATCAATTTTCCATTGATACAACGGCCCTACACTACTTGTGACTTACTTTGATTAAAACATGATTTCAGCTTCTATGGGACTTCTAAAAGTACTGACCTAGTCATTCAATGGATCTTTCCTAGGTGGTACTAACAATTGGATTCAGCATACAGGATTGATTCCTTTAATTTTTAAATGTATTTAAATACTCGTTTCTTAGTATTAACAATAATAGGACACTGAAATGCAGTAGTAAGTCGCAATCATAGTAGGCTCACTGAATCAGTGGGCATTTGGTGAGTCAGATACTCTGTAAATACAGTGGATTCAATTAACTTATAGTTATGACTTACTACTGGATGTCAGCCTTTATGTTACAATCACTTCTCTCATACACCCTTTCAAACTACCAATCATACATAAGAACCAATAATAAATATGTAACATTAAAACTGCTCATAGAATCGATAGTTTAATTTCTGAATTGTGAATTACCAACATTACATAATACATAATGACCTTGCTCAATATGTAATGTTGGTAATTATTCATCCAAATCACTATGTAGTTTTGCAAATGATGCAATTTTTGAAGGGAAATTGCCTCAGGTTAAGAAATCACCACAAACATCACCACCTGCATACACCGAATCACACAATTCAGGCTGAAATAGATCACATCTATGGAGATTTCTCAACGTGAAGCAATTCATTTTCAAAGTTCCTTTTAAGCCTTTAAATTATACATTCCCATCATGGCTTATAAACTGTGATGGGAGTTTTCCTCCAGGAATCTGTTCAATCCCCTTTTAAAGCATCTTGGCAGGATGCCATCACCACATCCTGTGGCAAGGAGTTCCACAGACTAACAACATGTTGGATAAAGAGATATTTTCCTTTGTCTGTTCTCCCTCTCCCAACACTCAATTGGAGTGGGTGTCCCCTGGTTCTGGTATTGTGAGAGAGGGAAAAGAGTTTCCCTTTATCTACTTTATTCGTTCCCTCCATAATTTTATACGTCTCAGTCATCATTCCCTCCATAATTTTATACGTCTCAGTCATGTCCCCCCACAGGCACCTTTTCTCTAGAATAAAGAGCATCAAACACTGTAGCCTTTCCTCATAAGGGAGGTGCCCCATCCCAATAATAATTTTAGTCACTCTCTTCTGCACCTTTTCCAGTTCCACAATGTCTTTTTTGAAGTTCAGCGACCAGAAGTATATGCAGTACTCCAGGAGCAGCCTTAACAGGCCTGCCACCCCCCGCACCCCCCACGGCAAAGCGGGGCTTTCAGAAGTGATTTTCACTGCTGAAAAGCCCCAGGAGGCTTCCGAAAGCGGCGCGAGGGGTGGCTCTGGGGGGGGCTGCCCCTACCACCCACCGCACCCCCACCCCGGCAAAGGGATCTGTGTTGACGGTTCAGTCCTGCCTAGGCCATGGAATGCGGACCAGTTGGGGACCCCTGCTCTAGAGCATATTTGGGGATGGGGAGGACTGCAAGAAGAGGGATAGAAGCAATGGAACATAATGTTCCTTCCACAAATTGACACAATTTATTATTATTAATATAATAATTAAATATATTAATATATTAATAATAAACATGAGAATAAAAAACATAATAAACATAATCATCATCATAGAATCACAGAGCTGGAAGGGACCATATCGATCATCAAGCCCAGCCCATCAAGGAGGAATAGTGGAGAATCAAACTCCCAATCTCTGACTCGTTCGCCGAATACCTATCGATGGTCACCTGGGTTCTATCATCAGCTAAATGTTCTATATTGGTAAACATACATGCATGCATATGCTATTTCTAAAAAGCTTCAGGCATAGGAGGAGGAGCCATTTTAAAGGAGTTTATAGTTGGAAACAATCCTTTAGAAGTGTGGGGCAAGAACTATAGATGCCAACCGTAATGGTCTTTTCATACATTTTAAAAACCTTAATCACACTGTTTATGACATGTGAGTTTTACTATCAGTTTTTCTATTTGTATTTTAATTGTTGTTAAATGAATTTTGCACTCAAACTTTTGTTAATAAGAGATGGGACATATACATATTTTTAATGAACAGAATAAATACATAGTGCAATCTAAAATTTTGTACTATATCATATCTATGACTCTTGCTCAAACTGGACTCTCTCTCTCTCTCTCTCTCTGTGTGTGTGTGTGTGTGTGTGTGTGTGTGTGTGTGTGTGTGTGTGTGTGAGAAAAAGAGATATATGTGGATAAATGTGCAACCTATCAAAGTTTTCATTTTGAACTTCTGCAGCACAAAGGCCCAAATCCCATCCAGAAAAACAAAAACACTTAACAGCACACTAGGAAGTGAACACTTATAAAATATCATTGATAGAATGAGTCTACTCTAGTTGGGACTATCAGTTGGATATAGGCCAGTATGTACCTATTAGGTATTGTTTGCAGAATAAAATACATTTTTAGACAGGAGGAGGAACACAAACACTTATTTTAAAACATAAAAAATACCTCAGTTTTGCTGAGCGTAGTATTGTGGTCAGTGAGACACAGTTTCCTTCCATTAAGCCACTTCCTACAGTGGGGATTATACTCTTACGGCATGCAACATACAGAGCACAAGCCAACCAATGTACAGTATCACCCTGAAAAAAACCCAAGTAATTAAATGTCTTCAGGGACAACACTAGTCAGTTTGTAGGTTGAACCTTTTATATAAAACTTCATGAAAGACATTATAGTAATAACCAATATACCATTGACTGAGATGTGAATGAATAACATCAGTGATTTTTATAGCAAAAAAGAATCACAAAGTAGTTTTTTTTTCAAGTATACATGGGATTTTCAAGAAATATTAAATGCTACATATCTCTTAAACAATACTGTCAGGATTCACAGAGAAAACCGTATGTGTGCACATTTTTTTCACAAAGGTTCAAGATTGTACAGTATTTCATTCTTCTGTTCTCCCCTCCCAACACTCATATGAGTATTGTTCACGGGGGTTTAGAAAACAAACATAGAGAATAAGGAACATAACAGAAATACTGTGTATTAAACATTAAATTCTACAGGTTTATTTTTATTACATTTACATTTATTTTTATTACATTTACATTCCTCATTGGAGCTCAAAGGTGAAATACATGGTTTTCTTCATTTTATTTGCATGAGTCTTGTGAAGTAGGTTAGCTTAAGAGACAGTAAGTATAAATACTGTTCAAAATCAGTGAGGCTTATCGATTAAAAGAATAGTTGAACTTATGTCTTCCCTGTCTGAAACTCTTAATTATGCAACCACATCAGCCTTCAGGATACTTAAAAAAACATACCTCTGAAAACTGAATGTATAAAGTAAGATTGTTAAACCTTCAACATTCAATTATGAAGTACTACCAAAATTCAAATTTGTACATCTCAGTTCTAACTTGTGTATTTCAGTCTAGTTGTAAAATCTGGAAGAAAATTATCTCTCTTTTCTGGGTCCAAAACCCATCATCGGAAAAGTAGAAAAAATGGCTGTTAAGTGTTGTAACTAAACTGCAACTTCATCTTTAAAGGCCTCGTCAATGTGTTTCACCAGATGCTGGGCAAGAAATATTAGGCTGCAATCCTAAACATGCACACTGATCTTGAAAGAAACCCCACTGACTGTGTTGTTCTTCATTCCTTGGAACCCATGCATACAAAAGAGGTGTTAAGTCAACAGAACGTCGGAATACACTGAACTGCAAAGCAAATCGGTGTCAAATATGTCTTCGGTGCATTACTTAAAACTAGCAAGGATGCCACTTCAAGCTTAAACTTTGTGGAAACTAGTTCATGACCTAAGAAATGCTGGGGTTGAAGACTGAGATATAATTACTGAACTGTAAGATTATGATACTGACAATGAATTTCAAACGGCGTGTCGCTGCAAAGCCCAATTTAAAGCCCTTTCCTGTACTTCCGAGCCGACCTTTTAGTTGGGGTGCGGCGCGGTTGCCCAGTGCCTCTTGCCTGCCGGGCGACTGGAAGCAAGGACTTCCCCATCGAGGTGAAGGGATCCCCCGAACCATTCATTCATCTGGGAAAAGCAAGAGGGAAGCAGCCCGGGATCTATCTGCTGCCAACAGGGGCTACGCCGTAGAGGCCGGCATCGCCCTCGGGAGCCAGGCCTGAGCCTACAAAACGCTGGGGAGCAGTGAGGGACCGGACACCGCGCTAGTAGGCCCGGCCGCTCTACCCCTTGACCAGACTGTCGCACCTGAGGGAGGGAAAAAATCCTACGCCTGGCACGCCCAAGCCGCTGCCCGGGGTGCCTGCCGACATTGCGGAGGAGAGAAGGGGAGGCCGGCAACTCGACAATTCACTCCCCGCTTGCCCTCCATCCCTT